AAGTTCTGACCTTTTTTAGAATGTTGACTTTTTTCTAAGAATTCAGATTTTAATCTCAGATTTCTAACTTTTTTTTCTGATTTTTTTATTTTAACCTCTGAATTGTTTATTGTATAACAATATATTATATTGTTTTCATAATTCTCACTTTCACCTCATAATTCAGAGTTCTGACTTGTTTCCGTGATGCAGTGTTTTGGTTGGCAGGCTGAATGTTTTGGAGCGGGAACTCACTTACCTGACTGAGCTTCATCAGAGGGAAACATCAAACTTGAAAGAGGAGATAAGCAGCACAAAGGATATCATTGACTTTCGGTATAATGGCAGAGCACAGGAGTTTTCTGTAAGCAACCAGTAAAGGTTTTCATGTGTCACTCAGAACCATGTTTCACTTCCTGCCTTAATACTCCAGATTCTCTGGAAATTCCAATTCTTTCTTCATAAACTGTACCTTTAATGCCCTTAGGTATTAATTGGTATTAATTCTCAAAGAATCCGATCTTGCTTTAATCCTGGAAATGTTCTTCCGGTGTTAGAAGTCTGACTTTGTAACTGCCTTTATGTTGCTCTGAAGGTTCAGGTCTGAGTGCATCACTACATCCAGACTGAAGGCTGACCTTTAGCTTCCAGCTGTAATAACTGAAGTTGTGTGGTGACACTAGATTGTTCCTCATTAGATCCAGAGAAAACTTCAGTTTTGTTTCCGTTCTAATTAAACATTTGATTTTTCTAAAATGTTCAGTTTGAGGTTTTGATGCTTCAGTAAAAGAGGAATATAGTTTGAAGCTTTTTCTACAACCATTTTTTATGGGGTCTCAATATGACTGAAAAACTATTAAAGTCGACTTTAATAGCTATTGATTTTTTGTTGTTGTTTTTTAATATCTGAAATACGCCAAACTGGTGGTGTGATCTTTTCTGTTTTGTCCACAGTTTTTGTTCCACACCATTGTGTTTTATTTGTAAGCAGTTTCGAGGCACAACATGAAACTGTTGCTGCGCAAGTCACTCAAAAGGTTGTTCCTCGGCAACCAGAGTGAGTGAGTTGCTAGGTAACCAAAGAGCGAGTGAGTTAGTTGATTCCACTCACCAAGCTGAGCTAAAAGCGTTTCCAGATCTAATCGGTCCTGATCTGGGAAATTATTGAGTATTTTATCAGTTTATTAGACATTGATAATGTGTCTATTGCAAAATTATCTTTTCTGTCCTGTAGGTGGCGTTGGACAAATGCCAGAGCCATCTCCTGAAGATGGAGCTGCAGCATCAGCAAGAGTTGGATATTGAGAGACACGAAGACCACACAGCACGTCTCATCATCGAAAAGCTGATCAAAGCGCTGCTTGTTGTGATGTCGACCATCTTGGTGTTTGTGTGCACACTGAACCAAGTCATCTTGTTTTTCAAGTCATCCAGACACATCCTCTATGCTGGGCTCCTGGCTGTCTTCATATTTCTCCTCTTCAAGTACTGGAATACCAGTACTCCAGTTAGCTGACTGGAGTCCAATGAGACGCAAAAAATAAACCCTTTTGAAGGCAGTCAGCATTTATCTTATTGGTATCAATCCAGCTTAGAGTTTAGCTTGGACTTCCTAGTTATTGACAAACACAAATTGTTTAAATAATTATGAAAGTTCACTGTAGTTTTAATTGATCAGATATCCAAAATCTGACCTTGTTTTCTCCAGCGCTGACGTTTTGCACAAGTTTAAACCACCAGGGGGCGCTGTGGTCAGTCCACTGCTCTCCAACATGTTGGCTCCTGCATTAGCTGGGTCTTTGTACGACGGTGTATTGGAAAACCAAGTCAATATCCCCCAAAAAACTCTGATATTTTAAGTATACTTCTCAGATTTTATTTTGAATTTTTTCTTGAAAAAAATGCCAATATTCAGGTTAGCAGGCTTGGAGGTAATTAATTTTTCAAGAAGTTTATTTTTTAATTCATAGGAACATTTTAGGAACGTTTCATCCCTCCAAACACGACAACTGTTTCCAGAACTGCTCTCTTTTTGCTCATGGATCTCACAGATTATAAACAATCCAGGCCTCCTGTTTCCAGAGGTCCTGATCTAAATCCAAGCAAATGTTTCCCAACGGGGAGTGAGACATCACTTCATCATTCCTTTATAGTGATGGAATGAATTTTCCCACATACTGCTGTGTTGTGAGGAACATTCACAGGCTGCTAAACCAAACAGGGAGGAAATGTTCTGTCTGTGCTTTAGTTTTATTGCTCAGATCAGAATGTTTTGGCTCAAACAGGCACAACAAGACGGCCTGCAGGACTGATATTATTCTTAGTTTGCTACTTTGATTACAAATACCAGATGTATATGTTGGACCTGCATCACTTTCAGTATGTCAGTTTTAGTCTAATTGGTTATGAACTTTTCCCTTCCACATGAACATTGACTTTAGACTGTCTTTAAGCAATTCATTTCATTTTCAAAGTAATTTCTGCAACTTTTGAACATCAAGCATTGCAAAAATAATGGTAAGGCAAAAAAGATGTTTACATTTAGGAAACCATACCTGAGCTTTAAAGACCAAATAATGTCTTTAAAATGTTTCTGATCACTAGAGATAGATAATCTGAGCAAATAAAAATGCAGTTTTTAAATCATGAGTTTACTTATATTTGAAAAATGTTTTCCAAACCATTCTGACCTTATACAGAAAGCTAATAGTCTCCTAAGTATATTAGTGTTTGTCTTTACTGTCACTCTGGTGGAAATACAGTATAATTATTTAACTCAGACCCAATGGAGAGTTTCTGAGGATGAACTGCCTGTTTAAAATATCTCAAATGGATTCTACAATGCACCTTTATTTAGTTCTTAACCCATTCGGATGGGGCCTCCTGGTGTTCTTCAGGTCATTATTGTGCATAATAACTAAGTCCATGTAAGCTAAAAGTCATTAACTTACATCTAAACATCCTGCGGGATTTTCTGTCATTCAGGCAGCAAAGTTCTGTTCATGTTTGAGCTGTTTGGTTGCTGGAAAGAGTCAGAAAAGAAGCAGACGAATGAAACCAGAACCACATATTATCAGCACATATTTATTTTGAGAAGCCATGATGGAGTATCTTTTCTGACATAACTGAAACTCAGCTGAGGTTTATAATAAGACTGATAATTGTATTTACAAGAGTTAAACTACATCAAATAAATGCAACACAAGAATGAGGACAGACAGACAAATGAGAAATGCAGTTTAAACCAGTTTACATAACGGTTAAATAAAATAAAGAAACAAACAAACATCCAAGCCTTTGAATGGAAAGTTGAGTGGAAGAAAAAACAATGTATGCGGATTAGGGATAACTGGTGAAACCTAGAATAAATCAAATAAAATGACTTTTTATTCATTTCATATAAAAAGTTTATTTGATTATTAATAATTTGATGTATTGAGGTATATAATATAGACCAAGCGCAGTTGTGAGACAACAAAGCGTGACAATATCTCAGGGTTTGTCTCTGACTGTAAAAGTACAGCTCGGTTTTTGAGTGCACATTTGTCTGTTCATCTGTTTTTGCACATTCACAGTTACTGACTTCACATTCCCATAGGAAGTGAGTGGAGCTGCTCTCGGCCAATCAGACTCGCGGAATACGCTCCGACAACAAACAAAAGATCGAGCCTAGCCGAGCTTATTATACTTTAGTCGATCCGCCTGGACTAACGCTTTTGTTACTTTGCTGTTCAACCGGACCTGTTCGTCTGTGTCTCAGCCGCTCTCATCAGATCCTTTCTTGCAGATATTGTTCCCCGTAGTGTCTGTGTTGTGGCTTTGTGTCAGCTAATGTCAACCTGAGCCATTTCAGCGATCAGTTCGGCTAAACACGTTAGCCAGGTTAGCTTCTAGGCTAACCAGCTCTGGCTGCCTCAATACGAACCAGCGAAGCCAGTTAGCTTAGCCTCCTAGCTAGCTAGCTTTGCTAACCCCCTTTAAAACTCGACACTGACCGACTCCAGCGGTTCTGGCTTGTTACTGACAAGCCACTTCACTAAAAGCCGTGTGATAGCCATGTCTGGACAGTCGACGGGCTGTGGGTTTCTGATGTCGGTCGTTGTCCACGGAGACTCGGCTCTGAACGAGCAGGAAAAAGAGCTAAACCAGCGACTTCGACGGCTCTATCCGGCCGTTAACGAAAACGAGACCCCGCTTCCACGCTCCTGGAGCCCGAAGGACAAGTTTAGCTACATTGGACTGTCCCAGAACAACCTCCGCGTTCACTATAAAGGTATGACAAAAAGACACATTCAAGTTTGTCACTTTATTTGGCTTATGCTAACACGCTAGCTTAACTTCACAGCTAGCTTAGCTAAGGCAGCTGCTGTTTGTGGCTAAAAACAAAGTAGGCTGGATAGCCTGATCAACAACAAGGCGGAGAGGACATCTTGCAACCCGACCAGCTGGCGAGGTGCAGCCGCTGCCAAAATTCACCTCCCTGCTCGTTAGCTTCGCTGTTACCAATTTACCAGCCTGCCAACCCCATTAAATGTCTCCATGAGCTTCATGTGCTGACAGTGCGTCGACCTATCACGTTCTTTAATAAATAACCTACCAGAATAAACATTTTTGATTGAATAAGACAGAGGTGATTACAGACTGTATCTGTTTCAGACAGGTCAGAAAAAGCAAACTGTAGCAGGGTAAATTAGCATTACAGGTTGATTAGAAATGTGAGAAAATAGTGTCAAATGTCGAAGTTAGGTTCAGGCCTCTATGATGACATGTTAGATTAGTTCCTTGCTGCTGAGGGTTTAATATCAAGTGTCTTGTCTGACATCCTGGTTGGACTAGTTGTCTAGCAAAGCTATCATAGTGAAGGTTTTAGGTGTAGGCCTAGAAGAAAAGGCTAGTGCTTAAAAAAATAGGTGCAACTGTGCTTCCTGGGTGTGTTCTGCTATTCCGGGCCTCTATATATATACACACACACACACACACACACACACACACACACATATCCTCTTCCTTGTTGCAGCCAGAATATTTTCCCCCTTTCCACAACAAATTCACTCCAATCCTGCATAGCAAGCTTGCAAATGTTCAACATCCTTACACACAATAACACAAAGCTTGTATTATTTTTGTCTTCAGGAAGCAAAGCATATTTCCAGATTTAAATCTGCAAGTATCTGCTGATTTGATATAAAATAGTTTTGCAAGTCATTAGTTCTAATTAAACCTATTTGTTTAGGATATGCTTTAGAAAGCTTTTGTTGATGATTTAATCTAATAATTTACTAAGCCTTTTGTCAAATCTTAAGGTTTCACTGTTAAATATCAATTTACAGTAAAATTATCAGAAAAGCTGGGAATCTTGGGGAAAAAATTAGTTTTCTCGTGTGTACTTATTCTCTAAACAAGAAATCAGTTAAGAAGAAATTGATCCTTCTAGTGTTTATGCTAAATAGCAGCATTTTTGTGTTGTATTTGGTAATATAACACTGTTGAATCATCAAATTGACTACATAAATGCACTGTAAATAAAAATCATTTGCTTTCACCATATCTTGTAGAGATTGAAGTAAATATTAAAAAAACTATTATTTTATCAACTTAATACAATGAAACAGTTTTACTACAGCAAAAACAAATCTTGCTCTCATTCCTGGAAGAGTGCATATATGTTATATTTACTGGAAAGATTCAAATACTTTAATTATTTATTCATTTGGAATGATTCTTTAATGTGACTCCATCTCAGAAGCTTTGGAGAGGAGAACTAATCTAAAAATTTGCATGTGGGATTAGATATTTTATTGCAATCTGAGCCTGGAGCAGAGCTCACATTTACTGCTTATAGAAGGCAGCTTCCTATGATATGAACATTAAATCCTCTCATAATGTAATTTGCGTTTAAGTGATTTAATTGCAAAAAAAAGAAAAGAAAAAAGCAAAACAAACAAAGCAACCACCTGAACTGTCAATTTAGCTTATATTTTGTTGCTTCCGTCATTGCGATGACTCTGTAAGTTGGGAATATTTGTTGTCCACATATTGCAGGGGTTTCAAACTGCTCCTGTCTAATATTCAGCCGTGTAAACATGGCTGATATTTGACCCATGCTGATGCACTCATCCAGATGCTTGAGCTAATGTTAGCTTTAAAGACTGCCAGCATGAGCGGGTTCACAAATCAGACCATACATGACCTCATAACCTCAGCCACGTCTTACAGAGAAAGTTTATTATTTTAAATAACCAGTAAATGAAGCATTGAATCTGACTTTCTCCTGGAATCTCACATTTTCAGCAAAGACAGAAGAAAATGATTAGAGATAAAGGAACCAGCGACAGTAAGAAATAATTTTCTTACTGGTTTTTAATTTTCATATAGGTTTTTGGTTATTCTGCAAAACATTTATATTACTTCCTGCTCTGATTTAAAGGTTTATTATTGGTTTGGCTCCGTGTCCGAACTGGAATGACAGGATTAAAGCTGGATCAGATATCTGTGATCTGAGTTCCTCGTTAAAAGTGAGGATAACAATTCAGTGATCAATTTAAATCTGCATACAGTCCCTCTCCAGGCTTTACTGTAGTTGAGAAGCTATTCATCTTTATTTATAAGGTGACCTCATATACATTTATTTTAATAATAAAACATTGTTTACTCCTTCTAAGGTCATGGGAAGACCCCTAAGGATGCTGCGTCTGTGCGAGCCACCCACCCCATCCCCGCCGCCTGTGGCGTTTACTACTTTGAGGTGAAGATCATCAGTAAAGGCAGAGACGGGTAAGAGACAGTTAAATATTGCAGAGGTGTGGCTTTGTTCTAGTTTTAACTGACTGTAAAGTTAATTGACATAAAGATTTTCTATCAACTTGCAGCTGGAAGAAATAATTTTCCTGCAGTTGCATCATTCATCTAAAACAAAAATTACAGAAATTTATTCGTCATCACTCTGCAGGTTGTGTGAAAATAAATTTATTAGATCGAAAAAAATTCTATCTATTTGACATTAAGTAACAGAATGTTTATTTTAGTCTTGCAGAGTTTTATCTTATTGATAAGATGAAGTGAGAATAGTATGATTTAATTTGCATGTTTAAAAAGGAACAGCTCTTCCTGCCAAGTTCTCATGATTAGCTTCAGACCCTTCTAATGAAAAAACCTTCAAACTCTAATAATATTCTCATCTGGGATAGTCGACCGTTTTTAATAAGTTGTTAGAAAAATAAAAGTTGTATTTTATGTTAGATTACAGGCCAGTAATCTCAAGCTTCTTCCAAGATTATTCAGCAAACAACCAACAAAATGTTTGGATTAGATTTTGAGTTTGCAGAAATAAAACATCTAGTTTCTAAATCTGTGGTTTCTACAGCTAAGCATCACAAAATTATTGAGTTTTAAATCCTCGTAAGAGACAACAAAAAGAATGGCAAGGAATTATTTAATCATATGAAAAACAACACTAAGAGCAATTGTTCTCAATTCCAGTCCTCAGGCCCCCTGCTGTTCTTGTTTTAGATGTGCCTCTGTTTCACAAATTATTGCATTACCTCTTCTAAAGGCATCAAGTACTGCAGAAGCCTGTTAATCACCCATAGATTAAATCCATGCGTGAAGCAACAGGGAAACACCTGAAACATGCAGATCAGGGAGTCTGAGGACCAGAATCGAGACACACTGACTTAAAAAAATCCAAGAGCAAAATATTGGTTGTTACTCCACTCTGATTTATCTGACTTGACAGCAAAGCTCTGAGTCTTTATAATTTGGTTCTGAGTTATGTTTGTGACTAGACACAAAGATATTTGTATAACCCTAACTTTGTTTTGCATTAACTTTTCTAAAGTGTCACAACTTTCTGAATATGAGCCTAATATTAGTATCTAAGAAAAATGATTCATGACTCAAAAGATTTTTCTGTTTTGATGTGTAACTGTTGTTACTTGTTGGCGCAAGCGGCAGAAAAGCTGCAACGCAGAAAATAAAAACGAAGCTATAGTTCAGTTTATGCTCAAACATGTCGGCTTTGTGTGAAACGTCTGAGTGGAAGAAGATCTCATTTCATTTTGGCATAATTCATTGCAAACATTTGTTTTTTGATTCAAAGCAACATGTCAGTCATAGTTTGGCTGTAACAGCACAGCCTGTTAGAAATGCTGGTTTATTTACCTTACTAAATAAAAAAAAACACCCTTTAAAAGAAAATACTTTTAATTAAAATTTAGATTTTGTTACAAAAAAACGATATAAAAACAATTTGAGTGAAGTATGTTCAGATTTTTACCATGAAGGCTTAGAAAACTGATTTGCACAACTTCAAACTTGATAATGATGAGTGAAGACAGAACCGGATAATTTTGGTGCCATGAAAGTCATTTTACAGCAAAATCAGAGGAAATGAGGAGATTTCAGAAGCTGAAAGATACTGAGGACAAGTTTTGTTATTGTTACTTTTGTTTTTTCTTAATAATAATAAAACATTATCACAGAAAAGGTCTCTTTCCATTACTTTTGCAACCAATACAGTAAATTATTGATCACTTCTGACTAAAAGGTTTGAAAGAAAAAAATTTTCCTCATATCCACTGATGTCACAGTTCTTGGAGAGGAATCAGAACTGACTACATTTCTATCAACAAATGGTTTTAAAAAAAAACAGCATTTTAGTTTTAGGTTTTAAAATGAAGGAAATTATAAAACATTTGTAACACAATAGATACATTTTCTGTTCTTGGATTTTGATGTTTTGGGAAAACTTAAAAGCATTTTTCTGTTTGGTTTTTACGTTTCTTTTCTGAAGTGAAGTTAGTTTAATCGTTGTGTTGATGATGCCAACACTTTGAAATAAACTGGCTTGAGTTTCATCTTCCCTCTTTGTTCCTTTATAAAACATTTTGTCCTCCATCTTGAACCAGAAGGTTTGCTTGTGATAACAGCTCACTGCTGAGAGCTTCAGGTAAACGGAGATGAATTGAAGTCTGTGCAGCAATAATCAAGCAGCTGCAGCCTTAGGAGCGTTTTTATTCTTCTGTGTCCTATAAACATTGTGTCTTGCATGTCAGGACTGAGTTATTTGTGTTTCTTCTTCCAGCTACATGGGGATCGGCCTCTCAGCTCAGGGTGTAAATATGAACAGACTCCCTGGTAAGTTCACTGTGTGTGTAATTGTTGGTTTTATTCTGCTTGTGAGGATTCTGCTGAGCAGGAAAAACGTCTCTTTGAGAGGAAACTTCAATTATCTGATTACATCTGCATGTTCTCTGTTGGCGAGGCTGGAACATGGTGTTTATAGGAGCTGCTGCAGACAGCAGGAAGACCAACGAGGGAAAGTCGTTCAGCCGACTGTGTTCTCACTCAAACTACCCAGAAAATAAACAGAAACGCACTAAAGCTGTGGATTAGAGGTCAGCTTTTGAACCTGAGCTTTATTGTTGCTGTCAGCATGGTTGCTGCACCATAAATTATGAATATATCATCATCACAATATTTATATTGCAATGGACAGTTTGGAGAGCAGTGATTGCTGGCTTATGTAGTTTGCAAATACTGATATTGTATAATTTATGCTAATGCAACATTCAGCTAGTAGGACAGGGTGTCATGGCTGCAAAAGTCCTGCTAGTCTCAAATGCTAAAGGTCACATGGATTAGGAAGATTAGAGAGGAAAGGTATCTAATCTGATATTATCATTGCAGTATTTTATAATATTGTGCAGCCCAGATACGTTTTTTTAATATAAATTCTCATTATTGGTGTTTAAAATTGTAAAAACTGTATAATTATTTTCCCTAGTGGGGCACCAATTCCACTTTTCCAGCTGATTTAAAAAAATTTTTTTTTTTTTAAATGCCTGACCTTCCGATTCTGATTTATCATCTTTTTTGTTCTCCCTCTCTTCTGAAATGTTGCTAAATATAGCAAAAAAGTTGATAAGTTGGTGCAAGTGGAGTGACTATTGTTAACTACAAACATGCAGACATGACCTGTTGGGCTGGTCGGTCAGTAAAAACCTCTTAAAAAAGGACAGTGGGTGAATTTTAGATATTTGCGATGGTTGATGAGACCAACTTCACATCTAAATATCGGCCGTTCTCCGATTTGTAAAGATAAAGGGAATCTGGACCAATTTATTGTTCTTTATTTTCTCCACCCATGAGCGCACCATTAATATGATTAAATGCATTTACTGTGAAGTTTAGTGGTAAGAATCACTTCTTAATGAACTTGAAAATTATCTCTATGTGTTTTCAGGGAGCTAATTTCATGGATTTAAATGAACAATCATGGGTATTATTTTTGGGTGCTGTAACCTGGCTCTGATCCAGTTCTAAGACAGACACCCACTTCTTATTTCTGTAAGAGGGATCTCTGCCTGTGAGCGGGTCCATAAGACACAGCACCACTTCATACGTCATCCAGCAAGGTTATCAGAGCGAGCAGGAGCTCAGACAGCCTTTCATTAGTTTAAAACTGGACCCACCCAGAGATAACAGGGGGGCCAGAGATGGATGGAGGCTAATGAAGGAGTGGTAACTGAAGAACGGCTGCAGCAGAGCCGCATGCAGGCTGGGCTGGATTACATTCTGCAGCGGCGCAGGAACGTCCAGCCTCAGCGGCCAGAGGCCAGCGGGGCTGAAAGTGGCATCCTCTCCAGAGGACAATGGACTTTGTTCAAGTTTAGCTCCAGTTCAGGGAAACTGGGACGTGTTCGTCACTCATTAAAAACCAACGGGAAACACTGGACACACCTGTTAAAGGAACGACACAAATAACCACCATATGTGGTCAACTTCTCAGGCTGTAGCTCAACGAAAGCTACTTTCATTCTGGGTAAATGCAACTGACACGCCAGCTGCTGGGTAAAATAAGGTCAGAGTGTTTAGAAAACCCCAATTTTCATAGGAAAACCTGAATGAGAATAGGATGGTATGTTTCATCATTAAGAACATACCAGGTAAAAACAGCAAAAGTTTATTTATTTTCTTTATTTCAGTAGAATCACCCAGAAGAGTCCTTCAACAAGACTCTGTTCATCATTCCCACCAAACCCAGTTTAGTCAACCCCAGTCCGTTTGCCTAGAAAGTCCGGTTCGTTTGCTGAGGTGTGAATGCTAATTAGATTCTCGTCTGCCTGCAAACCTCAGTTTGTGTTCGGCTTAAGTAAACTCTGGTGCAATTCGAATATGAACGCTGAGCGAACCGGAGACTCCTCTAAAAGCTGGAAGCAGACTACAGCGCAGTGCATTCTGGGTAAATACAACTAAAACAAACATGCCGTTTTTGCTAGCGGTAGAAATGGCTCATGGTTTTTTACCAAAGACTCATCGTCCAATTGCTAAAATCTGACACCACTTCATGTTTGCTTACATTTAATAAAGAAGGAAGTTGCACTTCTTCAGAGGTTTTTGTTGTTTCCTTCAGTGACTCTTGGTGCAGCGCCCCACAGGCGAGGAGGGGAACGGGTTTCCCAAAGGGTTTGTTTGGTTTGACTCAGTGCATTGAGAAAGAGAAACACAGCAGCTGAAAATATAACAAATGTAACTTTGATCCTGTTGAGCTGAATCTTCCAGACTATCAGAAGTGGGAATGCAGCCTTTAAATCCCTCCATGTTTCTGATGCTGTCCTTTTGTCCCGTTACCATCTACAACCTCTGATAACTAAAGACAGCGGAGCGTGCTGAAGCATGAATTGTGGCGTTTTTCTTGCCTCGTCAACATATTTGGACTCCCTGCAGAGTTTCTGGCTGCTGTTCATTGATAATTATGCAGATTGATTCAGGTGCAACCTCAGCAGTTTTCTTTCACGCAGTCTTTGATCCTTATTCTGATGCCATCAAGAGTTATAGACATTTTTAAATACTTCCTGTTTATCAATTTTCGATTTTCTCCTGTTGATGAAATGTGTTGTCTGACTGCATCATCACTGCGTCTTGCCTTCCCAACGTTCACCTTTGTTTTGATTTCTTCCTTCAGGTTGGGACAAGCACTCTTATGGTTACCACGGCGATGATGGCCACTCCTTCTGCTCATCCGGCACCGGGCAACCGTACGGCCCCACGTTTACAACGGGCGACGTGATTGGCTGCTGCGTCAACCTCATTAACAACACCTGCTTCTACACAAAGAATGGCCACAGCCTAGGTGAGTCCAGCTCTGGTCCCTGCTCTGGTCCCTGCTCTGGTCTCCGCTCTCCCCTCTCTGGTCCCCTCTCTGGTCCCCTCTCTGGTCCCCTCTCTGGTCCCCTCTCTCTGGTCCCCTCTCTCTGGTCCCTCTCTCTGGTCCCCTCTCTCTGGTCCCTCTCTGGTCTGCTCTGGTCTCCGCTCTGGTCCCCGCTCTGGTCCCCTCTCTGGTCCCCTCTCTCTGGTCCCCTCTCTCTGCTCCCTCTCTCTGGTCCCCTCTCTGGTCCCCCTCTCTGGTCCCCTCTCTGGTCCCCTCTCTCTGGTCCCCTCTCTCTGGTCCCCGCTCTCTGGTCCCCTCTCTCTGGTCCCCTCTCTCTGGTCCCTGCTCTGGTCCCCTCTCTCTGGTCCCCTCTCTCTGGTCCCTCTCTCTGGTCCCTGCTCTCTGGTCCCCTCTCTGGTCCCCTCTCTGGTCCCCTCTCTGGTCCCTCTCTGGTCCCCTCTCTGGTCCCCTCTCTCTGGTCCCCACTCTCTAGTCCCTGCTCTCTGGTCCCTGCTCTGGTCTCCACTCTGGTCCCCGCTCTGGTCCCCTCTCTGGTCCCTCTCTCTGGTCCCCTCTCTCTGCTCCCCTCTCTCTGCTCCCTCTCTCTGGTCCCCTCTCTGGTCCCCTCTCTCTGGTCCCTCTCTGGTCCCCTCTCTCTGGTCCCTCTCTCTGGTCCCCTCTCTCTGGTCCCCTCTCTCTGGTCCCCTCTCTCTGGTCCCTGCTCTCTGGTCCGCTCTGGTCCCCTCTCTGGTCCCCGCTCTGGCCCACTGTAGGACCCATAACTACATTCCTGTTGTTTCACTGGATGCATTTACTTCCTGAAACCCAACAGCTGCGTCTTTCTCTGTGTTCTGTGCTGGTGGGAATCTGGTGAAAAGGCTGAATCTGCACCGGCTGAGGAGAAAATCACATGTTTAAATCCTGAACATCAGGATTTATTGTTCGGCATTAAGCAAAACTGTCTGTATATTTACACAAAACAATAATTGTTGGTGCAGATGAAGTTGATTTGGGTCCACTGTAAGGAACAAACAGCTGAGCTGCACTGACTCCTGGGTCTCTTTACTGCAAACCCAGATAGCGCTGCATACCTCCATGATGTGCTGATTGTCCTGGTCACATGCGCTGCTGCCTGCAGCTCCGTTCAGCTCAGAAAGGGACAAATGGTAATGCTTGTCGTCGTCTTGAAGCTTTTAGCCTCAGATCAAATCGGTCGGCGCTCGTTTTCTCTCTGAAACTAATTTCCAAAAAAAAACCTAAAACTCCCTGAAGCAAAGTTACTGTGAAGACAAATAAAATGACTGGAGCTCCAATTCTTTAAAACATTTAAAGAATTGGTCATGTTTACATCAGATAGTCACATTTTCTTCTCATCCTTCAGCTCATATTTGCAGCAGTGACACAAACCAGTCACAAACTGGTTTAAACCCAGTTGGTTAAATGTTAAACTGGGAACTGCACCAGGGTGTTTCTGCAGAGAAGATGACTCTGGTTTCTCCTGAACAGACTCCAGATTTCCAGATAAATTTCTCTTCTGCAGAAATCTGTGTTCAGCTGCAAACCAGATTATTCTCATAACTGAGACAGTCGACCTGGTTTGCACAGCTTTGATTAAATTAAGCTGCAGCTGAAGGATGATGATCCCATGTAGTCAGACTGAGGCCTTCTGCTGCTTTCCGACATGCAGAGGAAACTTTTGTTTACACTTTCTGTTTTCTCTCTGCAGGTATCGCCTTCACAGACTTGCCAGTAAGTACCAGCCTCTGTTGCTTTTTCTTCTTTGCTAATGGTTTATTTGTCTGTTTCAAGTCTAAAACAGATGTTCTATAATTTGCTTTATTCTGTGGTTTTTATGACGACTTGAGGGAGTTTTGGTTCAGAGGATGTTTTGCGTTCTGGTTATTGACCTCTGGTTCTGGTCAGCTGTTGGGTCACAATGTGCTGAGATCCACAAGCTGGAAGTGCTGAATTTTTTATGAATCCTTTTTGTTTTATTTATTAATATTTTCAGTTTTTTGATGAACTAAAAGCTCTTTGCTCTTCATTATTTACTAGTTTCTTCTTCCCAGGGATCATTTTTACGTGAAACTAACTTTTTCCTTAGTTAATAGTAAAAGGGCTCATTATTTAAATGACTCAAGGGCACAAGTTGTGTAAAAAATTGTGAATAATGTAAAATATTTTGCTTAAAAGTAGGTGAGACATTAATAATGGCTTTATAGATGCATCACAGTTTTCTGAATTGTCCCACCTCCAGTGATCTGAGAGATTTGATCATAATACTGAAATGTAATGGTATTTTTGAGATAACTGAGATTTTATCTTTTCAAATCAAAAGGAGCTTTCAGAAATCATAAACTATGTTAAAGACGGAGAATTGGTGTGAAATAATTTGGTTTAGAGTTGAACTCAACAGTTCCTAATGAGCAGGATCTGATGTTCCTGCTCATTGAAAAATGTTAATTTTCTGTTATTTATTCAAGAATAAATCCTTCACATATTACTGATTGTTTGGTATAAAACGACCTGCTTTGTTAATTATCTGTTTTTTCTCTGCCTTTACTTTAAAAACAAAGATTTCCAAAAAGTTTATTTTATTTCTTAAAAGTCCAAGTTAACAGAATCTGTCATGAACTGCAAAAGCCCAGTTGTTTCTCACCAGTCAGTCAAGATTTGGAGCCTCTTTAACATTAATTTCTAAGTCAAGTGGACATTAACTTGATGATGGAATAATGTCTCTTTGTACTACTGCTTTATGCAGAAAACTTGATGCACGGCATGAAAACAGGGAGGTTTTTGCTGTTTTCTGCTCCCCATCTTGCATTTTGTTACGTAAAATAAATCATTTTATTCTTCAAATCATGGTGATGAATGTTTGAATCTTATTCTGTATAATTGTGATATATTCTGAACCCTTAAGCTTCTGTTCTTGTTTAAGTTGAGTTGCTGGTAATGACAGATTTATGATCGTGATCAAATCAAAGCAGCTCCAACCTAACAGAGGCAACAACGGGGATTTCATTACTGCAGATTATAAAGATATTATTGTTGGTATGTAGCGGCTCCACGTCATAAGTAACTTTTCCCAGAAAAATAGTCATGAATTTCATAAACGAGTATGAAAGACCCAGAGAGTCACTGCATGATCCAGTGGGAATGAGTCCGTTTGTCTGAAAGTTTAGAGATTTTATTGCCCTTTTTTACTCCTCCTCCTGCTTTGTTATGGTGAGGAACTCCCACACCGAGCAGGCCGAGGTTCCTTTGACATTCATGGGTTCATTAACTGAGCTGAGAGTGAGGAGGGGTTTTTTCTGGGGTTAAAATGAAAACACAGAGTCTGTTTTCTGAGAGAAGAAGTGGCCTTGGCCCCAACAGTCATCTATTGAGCTGCACAACGGACTTGGCTCTGAGCCTGACATTCATGTTCCTCCAGAGTTGTGCAGTGAAGTGCGTCACCTCGGCACGGCTGACCTTTCTGGCAACTGATCCGTGACAAAGACGAGTGTGACGGAGACACGACCAGCTTTTATTCACTGCATTTATGCTGCATTCGATTTTATTTCAGGAGTCCATCTTGTTCTGGTTAGAAAACCAGTCAGATTTGTTATTGTCTGAGCTGTTAGCAAAACAAAACTATGTCAATATGTTTGTCTCACTTCTAATTAGATATATACTGAGATTTTAAGGTGTTTTTATGCATTTCTTATTCCGTAGTTTTGTGTTTTTTATTCCTATCTTTATAACCTCAACATGCCAATGAGATGAAAATGAGCCGTCTGGCTATAATCATGTATTTGTGTTCATTAATGTGTGTTGTCACATTTTTAAAACAAATGTAAACAAGTGAAGCTCATATGATGAAAAGCAAACTAACATGCAAATATGCAACTTTTTGTATTTTCTGCATTGCAGCCATATTGGATTTATTTTTTTTAATCCAATGCTTCAAAATGTGACCATAAAAAAAAAAATGTTGAAGCAAAACTTAGTTTTTATTTTCTGGGTTTAAAACTAAAGATCCAGATTTTATTTTATTTTTTATTGCAATTTCTTTTTTAAAATTTTAATTAGCAAAATAAAAGTAGTGTAGAAAATAACATGCATGTCTAAAGGACCTTTTATAAACCATAAAGTAGAGAAAACAATTAGTTATAGTGTGAAAACTTGTTTAATTTTGCTTTTAAAAGGTTAATTTGGGTTCCCTGAATGAGCATCATCATAAAGTTCACATACATCTGAAGTTCCTTAAAATATCAGTTTCCTGACAAAATCTACACCAAACATTTTTCATTCCATTTTTAAAAAACAATTACCACTTCTGACTATTTTCTTCTCATCTCTCCCAGTTTTATTTTTTGAATTTTTTACTGAAAATATATGTATTTTAGGGTTAATTGTAGTGAAAACGTTGTTTCCTCTGTTTTCCTCCTTCCTGTTTTTTCCTCTCATTACTGGATTTATTGTCCAGATTAAATTCCTAACAGTTTCCTCAACTTCTAACTACATTTAACCCGTCATGGCGGTGTGTGCGTCCTCTGCAGCCAAACCTGTACCCGACCGTCGGCCTTCAGACGCCAGGCGAGGTGGTGGACGCAAACTTCGGCCAGCACCCGTTCGTTTTTGACATCGAGGACTACATGCGAGAGTGGAGGACGAAGATCCAGGCCCAGATCGACAGATGCCCCATCGGAGAGCGGGAGGGCGAGTGGCAGTCCATGATCCAGAAGTAAGGGGGTTAAAACGCCAAACTCTTCTCGTTTAGACCTTTTCACTGCTTTAAAATCCTTTTCTGACATTTTCATGTAAAACTACTGGGACAGTCAGAATTCAAATCATTGATCATAACGGCTGTTTTTAGTTGCTGATATTTGACGGTTACGTCTGTTTTGTGCTTTATTTTCCTAACGTGGGACGCCTTCATCATTTCTGTTTTACAGTGGAGACATCACACTGCAAAAACACAAAGTCTTACCAAAAACTTTTAGTCTAATGTCTAGTGCAAATATCTTAGTATTGAAATGAGAAAAAACTGTTCAGCAAGATGCAGGAGCTTTTTAAGTCAATAATTCATTAACACTGATGAATAAGTATTAGTTTCACTGGCAGATCATCTCACTTATAACAAGATGTTCTTCCCATGAAACAATCTGTGAAATAATGGGATGAATACTTGAATGGAACAAATTTGAAATAAAACATTTTTGAAGCGACATGAAGAAGCAGTTGAAGGTTTACTCACCTTTGAACCCGTGCTGCTTGTTGACACACAAAATGGCTGCCAGCTGTGACGGGTATTTATCACTTTTGTTTCTCTTCACACTTTTTCCTGCTTTTGACCAACAAAAACATCATCTGCTGCTGATTCAGATAAAAGACGCATTATGTTTTATGTGTAAGATTTTCTTATGTTTTCCACTAATGATGCAGTTACATGCTAATTTAATGAAGCGTCAGCCTTTAAACTCACTGACTGACTGAACATTTCATTTCTCCGTCTAACCTGTCGTTTCAAACATCATAAACTTTTACTGATTCCTGCAGGAACAGCAGAAGCTTTAAGTGTTTCTGGGTAGATTTAGCAACATGCCACTACATTTCTCTGTTCTCTGGCTCGACTACATGGGGGAGTGTTGATGATTTTTTTTTTTTTTAAAGATTATGAATAGTTGTGATTCATCCTGAAGCAGAAGATTAAACCACTAAACAATCAGAGGAGGAAACAAAGACAAATTGTTCTGTTCTGGGTGTTTTAGAGGTTCTTTGTTCAGTTTTCCTGGTTGTTAAAGAGTTTTATAACTTTTTCCTGGTTATTATGTTGTAGCTGGAGTTGAGAATTACCAGCCTGCTGCTGTTCAGATACATGAATTCAGTCTGATGTCGTCAGACCTGCTGGACTGATGGGATTAGTCTGCTGCTGCAGTGTCGACTGGTCCTGAACGGATTAAAATCTCCATTTGGTGCAGATTTCAGCTGAAGGGAGGCAGGCTTTGGTTTTCAACAGCTTTGCAGGCTGGATGCAAACAGACTGCATGTTTTAGCAACACAAAGAGGGAAACTTTTTGTTTTTAAGAGAAGACTGTGAAAAATGTAAGAAATCAGCTGGTCAGTTTTTAGTCGGAGTCAGAAAGCAACGTGGAAGTGAGAACAAATGCAGACTTTCCTTCGCCTACAAACTGACTTCCTGTTTTTAATGAGTCTGTTTTTCAGCTGTAATGTGCTTCAAGGTTTCCTGTTGACTAATGGAAAAGATTCAATCTAGTTTCTGCTTTCAGTTTCATTTTTTTAATCAGAAAATCTCTACATAAGTCTTAAGGTTCTGAAATGGTAAAATAAATCCATGAGTGACATGAAAGTGGCTTCATTTCCTGGTGGTGGCAAAATAATTCAACTACAGCCTCTAAAGATCGGTAAACTTTAATTTCTAGCAAGCATTTAGCACTGGAAGTGGAAGACATTCCAGTAGATCTAAAGGAGTTTCATCGGGTCGGACCGGTCTCTAACCGCTGTCTGGTTTCTCTGCAGAATGGTGGCTTCGTACCTGGTGCACCACAGCTACTGCGCCACCGCCGAAGCCTTCGCCAAGTCCACCGACCAGGCCGTGCACGAGGAACTCGCCTCCATCAAAAACAGACAGAGTGAGTGTCTCCTGGTTTTAGCTGAACTCTGAGTGCAGCTCAGGAAATGTTCGCTTCACAACACAGAGAAATGTTGTCACACTGGTCCAGGTAACCGGTTCTCCTGGTGCTTCCACTGAATCCTGCTGACGGCTCAAACATTTAACACGTCTCAAGTGGCTGCCTGGAGTCCTTGAAAATGCTTGAATTTCAATTCTGTGTTTTTAAGGTTTTTGAACATGTTTAATATTCAAACGACGCAGTTTTGTCATAAAATGCAACGTGTGATTAAAAAGCCTAAATGTACATCGTTTTTTTCTCTTGTGTGACGCTAAACTTCCTTTAGGTCGGTTAAAATTACCAGAATATTTTCCACTGGATAAATGCCAGAAAACTTTGCAAGAACAATTTTTAATAATATTTTTATAACTTTCTTAAAAAGCTCTTAAATTTTGAACGAACTGTGATTTAAATCAGTTTTGAAATGTGTAAAACATGAGCAGGTTTCTAACGGAAACAAAGGAAATGTCTCCTCCAGCACTGACTGAAGTGTTTGTTGGTTGCAGAGATCCAGAAGTTGGTGTTGTCGGGTAGGATGGGCGAAGCCATCGAGACCACCCAGCAGCTGTACCCCAACCTCCTGGAGAGGAACCCAGACCTCCTCTTCATGCTCAAGTACGACTCAGAGGAGCTTTTCCTGCCAAATGGATGCAGATCCTGATTCTATGCTCAGACCAGAACTTCTCCTGATTTTGTATTTTTGTCAGCAGCATCAGTAGTTTAAATGTCGTCTCCTTGATCGCCCCTCTGTGTCTTCAGGGTGAGACAGTTCATAGAGATGGTGAACGGGACGGACAGCGAGGTCCGGTGTCTCGGGGGACGCAGCCCCAAGTCTCAGGACAGTTACCCCGGCTCTCCCCGGCCCTTCAGCAGCCCCAGCCACAAAGCCAGCAGCTCCCAGCCCTACCTCACAGGTACGCCCCCTGCTGGTTATGGTTTAGGATCCCCATCCGCTGGGCTTTGCATACAACGGATGACACATTTAACATAACACAGCCATAAAAACATTAATTACATCAAAAAATACTTTGATTATTATTCTCTCCTTGTTGAGAATATTAGTGGAGCGAATGCCGTGACTTTTAGCCACATGGAGAACCTACTGAGGGAAATAAAAATAAGTCTACAGTTACAGAAATATGATTAATATTTTCAAGCTTTTTCTTTTTTCCTCCTTAGGGTTTGACAGCAACTGCTGTAACGGCGTGACGTCCAATAAGAGCCACAGCTCCTCCCCCCTCAATCACAAGCCCTGCCCCCCCAGCTCTGGCGCCGCCCTGCAGGGCTCTGACGTCAGCCTGAACGGCAGCCGCAGCCAGCAGCCCATCACCAGGTACGACCTCTGACCCCTCTTCAGCCCTACAGCGTCACTCCGTCTGGTGGCGGAGTGATGCTTTGTTTCACAGCGGGATTATTTCCACTTTAAATGATCTCAGATGAGATCTCAGGTTTTTTTCTTGTTCTCACTCCACTTCCTGTTTCCCCTCAGTAATGATGTGGACATGGAGGTCGACCACTTCACCAACGGCATGACCGAGTCCTCCTCCAACGGCTTTCTGAACGGCACCTCCAAACACGCCACGGAGCCCGACGACTGCGACGCAGACATGGGTGGGTTCGATGCTTAAACGCAACATTCGCCATCCGAGCTGCTGCCTGGTTTCTGTCTAGAGTTTCAGTCCTGATTAATGAAGCTTTCCATGTTAGCAGCTCTTTTCCTGCATCAACTGTAACGACGAGCCGCTTGTAAGATACTCCACACGCGATGAAACAACAGAAACCGTTTGCTCACAGCTGTAAAGCTTCTCCAAACCTGGACTGTAAAAGCTCCAAATCACTGAGGTGACGTGTGAAATCTGCATGTCTTGCATGGCGGACCGGCTGCGGTTCTGCAGAGGTGGAGTCGGCCCAGTCCAAGAGGCAGCTGTGTGGCGGGAGCCAGGCGGCCATCGAGAGGATGATCCACTTCGGCAGGGAGCTGCAGAGCATGAGTGAACACTCCGCCGGGAATGCGGCAAGAACTCCGCCAACAAGAAGATGCTGAAGGTTCGGAAACCGGACCCGGTTATTTACTGCAGTTCCTCTGATTATCCTCAACTACATGTCAACATGTTTACATTTCCTGCAGAAAAGTGTTTTTTACATTGAAAAAAAAGACGTAATGCAGCAAATATTTTGTGTTCTTTAAAATAAAACCAGAATATTATTTTTTTTTTTTTTATGAAATCAGGAGTTTTTAAATCCATCTTGAGATTCAACAGATGACTAGAAAACATCCAGAACATGAGCAGCAACCAGGAAGACTGATCCACCTGCAGATGATGATCCTGCAGAACCTGGCCGTGTTCTGATGTTGGATCCTCTGTGTTCTGATCCGGTCTCTTCTTGCTGTGTTCTGCTGCAGGATGCGTTCAGCCTGCTGGCGTACTCCGACCCCTGGAGCAGCCCGGTGGGCTACCAGCTGGACGCCGTTCAGAGAGAGCCGGTCTGCTCCACTCTCAACAGTGCAATATTAGGTAGGTCCGCTCTGACCGGGCCGGAACCGGGGGGTCCTCTCTGCTCTTATAGAGCTTCAGATATTAATTACTTCACTAATTGATTATTTGGATGATTGATCAGAAAATCTGGCACATTCAGATTTTCCTTTAACAATTTAAGTTTTATTAATTATTTTTTTCTTTTCCATAAAGATCAGATTTCTGGACTGTAAAAACTTCAGCAAAGCATAAAACTCTGCATGACACAAACAACAGACGACAAATAAATCTGGAGTTATGTTATTATAATTCATTGTTTTTTTCTTCTTCTGTGTTTTTGTCTGCAGAGACTCACAACCTCCCGAAGCAGCCCCCCCTGGCTCAGGCCGTGGGCCAGGCCGCCCAGTGCCTCGCCATCATGGCACGAACTGGCATCGGCTCCTGCGCCTTCGCCGCAGTGGACGATTACCTGCACTAGCCACATGTACACACACACACACACACGCACACACACACACATTCTGAAGGCTCACACAGAAAGCTTCCTCCCCTCTCTGCTGGAGAACCCGGCGAGGTCAGAGGTCGTTTCTGGATGGACCTTCAGAGATCGCCACATTAAAATGAACCGACCACCTCCATCGTCGTAAATAATAACCTTCACCCTGGTCCTCAGAGGCGGCCATGTTTGCATCCTCTTGACAGGGAGAGGAAGTGGGGGTTTGGCTTTCAAAATAAAGAAGTACTCTGAGAGGCGAACTCGTGACTCAAAGCCGAAACACAAAAAAACCTGGATCAAACTTAAAAAAAAAAAAAAAGTTCCCATTGAGCGCTGAGGAAAGCGCTCCGCCGCAGCCAATCGCAGCCCTCCACCCTCTCTGCACCCCCGCCCTCCACTCACCCCGGGACGCGGCGCAGGCCCGGTGCTTTGGACTCGGGACCTCGAGGAAACCAGACAGAATCTGCAAGTCTCGACTTTCCCGTTTTTAATCTTCTGTTTAGTTTTTTTTTTTTTTTTTTTTTGAGCAATTTGTGGATAGGGGGCGCTGTGGAGGAGGTTCTCCTGCCGCCTCTTGTTTGGTTTTAGTTTGTTTGTTTTCCCAGGTTTACAAGGCATGGTGCAGACCATAATGATGATTATTATTATTATTCTAATTATCATTATAATTATTGTTACTTGCATCCACAGTATATTTGTTGAGCGCCAGCCAGAGCGAGTTCCACCGACTTATTATAATAAAGGTCCCGATTCCACCGACTCCCCAGTGACCAGCGTGTGTACATGTAAACGTTTTCTATATTACAAAGTGGAAATATATCAATAGAGCGACATATTTAGTTACTAAAATAATAAAAAAAGAGAGAGAAACCTTTAATACGTTTCCTGACACCAGCAGACCCCTGAAGCAGGCTGGTTGTGTCCAGTTTTTTCTGTTTGGGTTTCTGAGCAGGCAGTAAAGGGACGACTACATCAGGCCCAGAGCTCTCGGCTGTGAAGCTGCTCAAACTCAACGTTTGTTTTCCTGCTTTATTTTCTGCTTTTTGACCCGAAGAACTCAGGAGCCAGAGTGACGTTTAGTTTCTCCTCCAACCAATCAGCTGATGTGTGCCTCATATCCGACACATAAACCCGGTTCGGATCAGAACCGGCAGACCTGAGGCCTGTACTCCCAGGCAGGATTACTGTTTAACCGACTTTAAGCTCCACATTCTTCCACCTTGATTATTTAAAAAATATGCAAAACTAGAGAAATCAATAACTGAACATCTCTTGGAAACTTAAACCAAAGTTAATTTAATCTGATTTTAAAAGTTCAAAACGTGGTTAAAAGAATTGTAAAAAAAAAATCCCACTGGATTTGCAGCTAGTTGTTGTTAATCTGACATTATTAAGAGGATCTGAAATTGACCAAAGTAATCTATTCCAAATATCAAAATTACAGATTTTGCTCCCAAACTAAGTTAAGTATTTTCCAACTGCCTAAAATATAAACTAGGTTGATTAAATTCAGCATAAATGGCCACAATGTGACCAAATTTGGCTTCAAAATCTAATAAAATGTCACTAAAACTGTATTATGTAATTAATGCAGAATGGACTAAAATCATAGGAAGCGTCACATTTTGTGCCGATTAGCTCTTTGTAATAATGTGGCGCATTATTTAATAAACCACAAACCAGAGTTTTTGTTCATCCTGATAAAAATCATGTTTAAATTTAAACTTTGGACAAAAAATGCTGAAGTTTTGCTCTTTTAGTTTTCAGACTCAAAACAGTTCATGTCGATTTTAATATGTTGTTCAAATGAGAAACTTTTTTGTTTTAAATGCATTTTTCATCTTGTAGCGATCCTGATGGTTCTGGACCCGTCACTATCCTCTGCAGGGCCAACAGTAGTTACTGTTCAGTTTCTAAAATCTGAGCTTTTCTTCTTTCATTCATAGATTGGAGAAGGTGTGAGAACCGCATCATGTTGCGTTTGGTTTTTAATAAAATGAATCATTTCCATGGCTTGATGCTGTTTAAATTCATCCATAACAACTTTGACTAAATATGTAACAAAGATGAAGTTAAACCAATTCAAAAACGTTGAAAACAATTAAAGTTCGAGACTGAAGAGTGAAATGTAGAAGGAGAAATGATGCAAACTTTGGGTTTCTTCAGGGTTTTAGATCCTGGAGATGTTTGGAAGAAGAGAATAAAGTCTGGATCCATTTATGGGGAAAAATACTTCATTTAATCAATTTTATGGTTTGACCAAAGATTAACGCTGAGCCAAATGGATCAGAACCACAAGCAACCAGAACAGAATGAAAGGTAATTAAGTCAAAAGTGATATTTGAGCTTTTTTGATCATTGTTTTGCTCCATAATTGATTAAATCTTTAACAATCGAGAAATTAACGGATATATGATGATTAAATACATAAAGCTTTGAAAAATTAAGTCTGAGAGACATGAATGAATGAATTTAGTTTTTAGTTACTGAAGGTGCATCTCAACAAAAACCAACATTAAATATATCACTTCATGTTTATTCTGAATATTTGACAAAAGCATAGAAAAAACAAAACAATGAAAATAATAAAGTTCCTCTTAATCCTGCTCCAAAGTACAGATCTCAGGTCTGAAAGTTGAAGCAAATCCAAAGGAAATTCATGAAGGATGATATTTTATCTTTGAGGTTTTAAAATCGCAGATTGAAGAATCTGATCATGAACATCTGAATTCATCAGCTCCCAGTCCAACTCAGCGTAGATCTAGATGAGCCTTTTATATAGAAGCAGCAGCTCCAGAAAATGAAACCATCTCGTCTTTGAGTCAAACCAGTTTCTGACTGCAGTAATGACATTTAGCCAACTGGAAAGCACGGCGGTGGCAGTATCATGTTCTGAAAACAACAGGAGCAGGAAAAAACAAAGCATTTCTGAACCCAACTGGTCGCTCGAGCGTTCAGCGACTTTAAACCAATCAGCTCTGGAAGGAGACGACGCCGCTGCGTTTTAATTCGTCTGGTTCCCAGAACTCATCCAGGTGGAACTAATCTGTTCTCTATCATCTTGTTTTCCTTTTTTATCCTTATTTTTTGCAGCTCACAAGCAGTCAGAAAAAAAAAACTCTTTAGACAAAGTGTCTGTTGTCTCTTTCTGAGTAAGGTCTGAACCTATGCATGCCATAGTAAGTGGTGGTAAGATCCAGCTAGATGTCTCCTTTCTTTCGGTTCTCCTCCTTTTAGCCAGGAAGATGTCAACCAGTAAGTTGTCCACTGCTGACTGTGTGTCCATTGGAGATGATTAAAAATGTGCAATTTGTGTGAGGGTGAAAAGATTTATATTAAAAACAACCATGATGATGATGAGAGCAACTTGTGTGGCTCCTGCATGAGGCTGGAAGCGAGAACTCTGCTCAGTTTAATCCCAGACATAATCCAGAAAAATCCCTTTATGAAGCTTTGCATAATGAAATCAAATGATTTTAACGGAGATGTTGCTCTTCTGAAAATACTACAGAAAAACTCATTTGTTTAAATTGTTTTTTTCTGAATTGCCAGAAATCTTAGTAGTTTGAGTTGTTGCTCAGTTAGCATCAAGCTAACAGACATTTCAGCTACAATGATAAAATATATTTTATAAATCTGTCTATCAATGTACAGATGAATTACAAACTGATGGATAAAACTATCTAAAGAGGAAATATTAACATTTTCTTGTAGTTTTGTAACTTTCATGCTGAAGGTGAATATTTGCTGAAATGCAGCTGCAAGATTCCAGGTTTTCCAACTTGTTGAACCAATTTTTAAAAAACTACAAAACTTTATGAATTAGGTGCAATAACCCAGAACAAGAACAATGGTCAAATAAAATTGTCCCTGAAATTATTGTGATAAACTATTTATATTTTTTTAACCATTTTCAAGTAACATACTGACATAATTCAAGTTCACTCAAAGACTGAAAGCTGCAAAATATTACAACTAAAAATAAATATACTTACAACTGAAAGCATAAATAAAATGGATTATGACTCTGTAAACAAAATGGCTCTTAAAAATATTTCTCATAATGGAAATGATTCAGGGGATTTTAATTTATCAGGTGATTGATTATTGCCACACGCTAACCAACAATCGTATGGATCAATGCTGGAATGACAAAAGAAAAGTTGAGTCCAAAAATATTCATACCCCTGGAAGATTTAAAGCAAAAAGTATGAAATACTAGATTATGATGGTTTAAAGTGCCAACTTGCAACGACATTAAATATTTTCCATCGATAAAAAATAAGATTTTTATAAAGAATAATTTCACCTTTAATGTTAAAAAATATTTACATTTCATAAGCAGAACCATTAGAGCATTTCTCCATGCAGAGCTTCTGGTCCTGAAACGAGGCTTAAGTCCATCCAGATTTGTTTTTTGAAACTTTCAGTTCAGGTGAAGAAGCTCCAGCAGATTCTTCCTCCAGATTTCTGACGGCGGCCATGTTGGATGACTCACGGCGGTTTCAATCCTGACATTCCGGTCAGCTGGTGGGAATCTGTTGCTTGTGGATCCACCTCTTCTTCAGCTTCTCTGCTTTAGCTTTTTCCTTAGAGCTGCAAAAATCAGAGCAGAGGTCAAATGAAGGTCATTACAATTAAACAAAATAAAAACATTGAAAAAACATTTAACTGAAATAAAAATGGTAATTAATGGGGAAAACCTACAACTGGAACTACATCATGCATTTATAAAACAAAACTGAAATTAAATATCTTCTGTTTTTGAATCAATTTATTAGCCTTTCAAATTGAAGTGAAATTGATTTATTTTTCCCAACACAACCAGTTTACATCAGCTGTCGGTAAATTACAGCCTCCTTCCTCCAAAATAGTGACAACTAAAGTTAAAATTATTCATTCATTATGATTCATTACCCAGTCGATGTAAACATGATCAGAATACAATAAACTTTGACCCCGACCCTAAAAATGACCCAGTATGAGAGAAATACAATATATAACGCTGCAACTAATAAAAACTCAACTGAAACTAGTAGAGACACGACAAAAAGTCACAATAAAATAAAACTAAACAATAATGAAAAACCCTAAACTATTGAATTTATAACATTGCTTGCGGCTCGTTAATCGTGTTTTTTGAACGCACCCCAGTCCTTCTTAACAAACTGCACGGCTGCACTCTTATCCGGCCTCGTCTTGTTCTGCAGGGACAGCATCTCGTTATCTGGCAGGAGGAAAACAAAGCGTGAGCCTGAGAGTCTGGAGGTCAGCCTGAACGCGGAGGATGTCCCCGCCACGTCCCCAGCGGGACGTCCAAATGGACGCCTCAGAGACACGAGGCGGGACGTTTCTGTAGCCAAGCTCAAATTGAGGCAGATCATCGTCTTTGCAGACTTCTGCCACAGAGTGTAGCTTGCACTTACAAGTTTTACTAAATAAAAAGTGAAAACAGGATTCATGTCAGAAAATCCAGAAAAATCTCAACAATCTCTGGGTTTGAATCACTAAAGTCTGACAGGATCGTCTTCTTACTGGAGCTCCTGCAGGTTCCCGGCCGTACAATCTGGACTGGATGAAATCCTCCGCTGCCTGCCGCTGGTAGTCGCTCTGCCTTCGATCCGCCACCGTGGAAACTGTACCTCCCCTTCAGGCTGCGAGGCAGAGCGGCAGAGGGAAGACGTTAATCTGATCTGATTTATTTAAAATGAGCAGAAGTCTGTTAGGATGCAGGAGAGTTCCTCATTTCACTTCCTGGATTTTAACAAATGTTTTTACGTATCATCAGACGAACAGGCGTTTCCTACTTTCTGACTCCTGTGGGTTTCTTTGTCTTCTTCTCTTCCTCTTCATCTGAGTGAGAAAAACATTAATTAGTGATTAATAGACATTAATATTTACAATCCAACAGGATTACGCCATACCTTTATCCTCAGCTTGTTTCTGTTTCCTGAAAGAAAAATATAGTAATTTAAACGTCGAGTGAAACGACAAACGGTTGAATGAGTCCAGGACGTTTACTCACTTTGAAGGAACCGAGTCGATTTCCTCCAACACATCGGCTGAGAGGAGTCTCTTCTGCGAGGACAACGGACTAAATGTTTAAATCATTTAAACATAAATATTGATTTAATGTTTCTTATACTCTATGAAAAGGTTTTCGTTTTTAAAAAATAATTGAAAAATAAACTTTGAAGGAGTTAAAATCAAGATGAACCAGTGTCATTTATCACAATTTTCAGTTTCACAACTAGATGGTTTCCTGAAATCATTTCCCTATATTAACTGCTTAAATTAATGAAGGCACTTTTTTAATAAAATACTTTTGTAGGGATTTCCCCTTTTCAAAATAAAATCTAATAATAAATTTGATATAGCACTGTATAAATATTGTATTTTTAATCGTACAAAACCCACTATTGAGGTTTGTGCTCCACTTCGCAGTAATGGAGTAAAAATGAACTCCTAATTTATATAAAAATTAAATATTTATGATGCAATAAGAAAAACGCATGAGAGAAGAAAATTTAAACAGACCTTCTGTTCCTGGAAAAACTCTTGTCTCTTCCTCCTTTTCTCTTTCAGCAGCTCCTTTTCTCTTGAAACATAAAACAATTGAATTGATACAAACGCCAATAAGTTTAACACATTTCCAATTATTTCTAAAATATGTTAAATTAGACCCTGCCGATGAAACGAGTAACTTCAAATAAATCTGAATGTCTTATAAAGTTGATCTTTCAGTCTTAATTCTGGTTATTTATCAGAGAAAATGTAAAAGATGAAATGTATTGAACTGAGTTCTGTGATTCGGTGTAGCTTCGGAGCTAACTGGTGTTAGCCACCTTCTGGCCGTGTCCAGCGCCAGCTTCAGGCTCTCCACGGCCCGGGCCTTCGAGTCCTCAAAGGTTACTTCCTCCGGCGCCTCGTCGTCGCTAGAATCCAGCCCCAAGTTGAAATTATGGGCACCTTTTACATTTTCTGCCTTTTTCTCCAAAGAGGCGCCTTTCCCACGTTGTTTCTTCGCCATGTTGTCCCTCTCTGTCGGCTCCCACGGAAGTGACATCATCTCTTCGCGCAGCAGTGTGATGTTGAGCAGAAGACAAGTGGGAAACATTTGCCCCCTAATGGCGTAAATAAGAACTACAGTAGAAAAAAAGGTTAAAATATTTATGAAGTCATTTATTTTCCATAACTTAGAAGTAGTAGTTTTTATACTAGTTTGGTTTACATATATTTTATTTTCAAAAAAATATTTTTATGTATTTAAATTAATAAAACCCAAAGTGGTTTTTTCCATGTGTTCTTCCCTCCTCGCCAGGTCGTTATTATAAGAATTGCTATTAATAATTCATCCTGTTAAATAAAGAAATAAAATAAAAAGCTATTTCAAGTCAAATAATATTAGATAGAACTACAAACCAGTTTCTCTGATGTTGAATGTGTTATTTAAAAATTAATACAAAAATAATATTAAAATGCACATTTCTAAAATGAGTATAATTTATTTCACATTAATTATAATTCTTTATATCAATATATAACTTTAGACATTTTAAAATTAGATTCAATAAGAACACGTAAAAGTTGCATTCACATCTTTCTTAATTCATTTACGCTGAGGTTTTCATCTTCGAGAAAAACCTCCTTGAAGAGTAAAAATTTTTCTTTTTCAAGATGTTGATATACCTATTTAATCCTTTGTTAGACTTTTTAAGTCTAACAAGAAAAATGTCTTGTTGAAATGTTTTCTCTTATTTTATTTCACTACGTTGATGACTGCAACGTCTCGAATCCATGCTTTTATTCTGAAACGCTAAATAACTCTACCGGAAGCTGTAGCTAATTTAGATTAACTTGTCAGACCGCTCCCATCATTAACTAGCACCGGAGCGAATAACGGGACTCCGGGCAAAATGCACCGACTCTTGCTCGTGTTTGTGGCCGCCGTCGGGGTTTCCGGGTTCGGCCTCCCGCGTCTGTACGCCTCCCCCGCGGTGGAGCCTTGCGACGCCCCGCTGCAGTGGGAGGGAAAGTGGGTGTTGTACGACCACAGCACGGGCAAAAGCCGGGCCGCGGTCTCCTACGACGGCCAGAACCAGCGGATCCGGGTCCTGCAGCAGCACAAGAAGCACACTCCCTGTCAGAGGTACCAACCAGTCCTGGCTGGGTGACGAGGTTTAATCTATTGCAAATGCTCAAAAAATATCCATCTCATGTTTTTCATTTTAACTGATTAAAGTTAATATATACACTTTAAATATCAATTTAAAATATCTGAAAAAGACCAAATTATTTAATAAAGTTGAATTAGGTCATATTTCAATGTCACTGAACTAGTTGGTGTTTTTGTTGTAGCAACAATATTAAATTAACAAATATTTTGGCAACATGTTGAATAATTAAAAAACACCAGTATTTATTCACCCATTGCATAAACATCAGAGCAACAAATAAAGTATTACAGATTGTGAGAAGAAATCCTGTTATATTATTGAAGAATCAAAATCAAGCCTGTTGTTTAGAAATGATCAGAAGGAGCAGCATTATAATAATAATAATAATAATAATAATAATAAAAACCACTTTATTTTGGAGTTGATTCATTAATAATTGCTGGATCACAAATGAAGATACTTCTAAACGTGAATTAGTCGTAAACCAAGATGAGGTTTAATGAATCTGTTTCAGAGACACAGATAAGTTTCAATTATGAATCTTTTTACTCCACAAACTTTTATTTATCCACCAGATTTTCCACTATGGAACATAAAACAGAACAAATTTGTCACATCAAAATCTATAATTATCAGCACTAAAACAAGAAGTTAAACTGATTCTCGCTCTGTGGTCAGGTAGTTATTTTAAAGTGCTACGACTGAATTATAATGATGGAAACAAATGTAAAAATCAACTAATTAGAAACATTTTGCACTGAAAGAAAATGACTAATAATGTCCCCAGAACATCCTGGTAAAGGTTCCTGTTGTGGAAACATGTATTATTGGTCAATATTTATTTTATTTGATAACTTTGATCACTTTGGGTGTTTACATAAAAGCTGATCGATCAAACTTTCTCATAAGTTATTATCTTTTAAGATAAGCTTATTACTGTGTATTATCTGAATTAATATGAACTAAGAATTGCTAATATTGTGGCAGGTAATAAATAATAAGTAATAAATTATTTTATTTTCTACTTGGAGGAAAATAAATGGATTATTTTGCTGATAGTTTTGGGTATATTTTTATTTTGCTTCTTTTTATTGAATTCATTAAATGTCTGTGCTACAGTGTTATTATATGAAAAAAAGTGAAAAAGTTATGAAAACATACATAAAACCTATCTAATTTACTTAATTTTTTCCCCAAATGAAAAACAGATAAGCTGATTTATTGATTATTATTGATCACTTACAACAATATAAGCTTTTAGTTGTAGTTTTACATGTTTATCACCTGGCTTCTCTTTTTGTTTTTATTCTGCTCGTATTAAGCCATGTTCAGACCTCAGAGTCTGTTGTCTAATAATCAGCGGCGCTGCAGGAGTAAACAAGCACAAAGTCTCTAACTCTGCATTGTGAAACGGCGTCTGGCTGGTAAACAAAGGCTCAGCCTGTTTAATCAGCGTTAGTTTGCTTAGCTTTGACAACACTGCACTCATTTCCCAAAAATATATTGCACTGCAGTGAACTAACGTTTGCACTCCGAATTTCCTTCATTTTCTTGTATTTGCAGGTTTTTTGAGTACATCTACCTGTACCAGAGCAAGGTGATGTTCCAGATCGACCAGAAGACCAAAGAGTGCTCCAAGGTGGCTCTGACCGAGGCCTGGGATCCCTTCGACATCCCCATAAACTCCACCTTTGAGGATCAGTACTCCATCGGAGGCCCCGGGGACAACGTGGAGGTGCAGGAGTGGTCGGACAGGAAGCCGGCTCGTCGGCGTAAGAACGCCGCGCCACGCTTAGAAAACAGAAATCTGGGAAAATGAACCAAATGCTGAGTCACTGCAGTTGGTCAGAACGACTCCAAACTGAGCTAAAATAAATCAACAGATAATAACAGAAATAATACATAACAGTGCAAATGTGCACTGCAAAAACACAAAATCTCACCAAGTATTTTTAGTGAGGTTTTTAGTGCAAATATCTTAAAACAGTTTAAAAAAGACAAAATGAACTTTAATGTAACATTTCAGCAAGATATAGGATTATAAGTCAATTAGTCCTCAATATTGATGAAAAAGTACCAGTTCCACTGGCAGATAAAGTCAATTATAACATGAGAAAAATGTCTTGTTAAAATGAACTTTTACATAAAAATTAAGGAATTATAGACTTAAAAAAAGCTCATATATCTTTCTTAAAAGTTACTTGTAAGTTAGTTTTGTCTTATTTTACTATAATATTTACTAGAAACTAAACTAAAAATACTTGGTAGGATTTTGTGTTTTTGCAGTTCCTAGCATGTTTTGTAGCATTTTGCCCTTTAGCCTGCATGTTTATCAGTCCACCAGCAGAGGGCGACATTTGAAGATGGAAAATGAACCCGGATCTGAAAACTGGCTGAATTTTCTACTGTAGATCCTGTTGAAAGTGTTGCAGGTTTCAGAATGAGCAGCTCATCTCCTGCTCATTTTTCCTGCAGATGAATCCTGGGTTGGCGTTTACACCGTGAAGGATTGCTACCCGGTGCAGGAGACTTACACCAAAACAGCACCGTCACCACCTCCACCCGCTTCCTCAGCCTGCAGCTGGGCATCAGCGACCCCAAAGTCTTCACTCCGCCCTCCACCTGCCAGTCGTCTCGGCCAGAGCGGATGGCCGAGTTCCACTGCTGAGGCCTTCGCCGATAATCAGCAGCTTTTTCAGTCTGTAGTTGATTCCTGGTACAATAATAATAATAAACACTAAGAGAATAAAACACATAGCTGCTGTAGAAACTGTCATTACTGATGCCAATACTGCAAGATCTTCTGTTGAATCTTTATTAGTTTAAATCTGAATATTAAATTCTGAAATCACTGCTGTGAGACAATGACGCCTGAATAAACTGGTTTATTGTCATCTGTTATGTTTCAGAGTGAAGGAAACTACTGATTTCATTCTTAATGTTTCTTAATATGTGATGCCCATATAATAAAAAGACATTGTTAATCTGAATAAAAAGTGAGTTTTGAGATCATTTACTTGTACTTTATTTTGAAAATACTTAAGTAGTCTCCAGAATGGAGTCGGCCATCTTTCTGAGAAGGCCTGGACCGCGGCATGCCTTCCAGAGCGAGCTGAGTCCAGAGGTCTGTTGGTTTCTGGAAATCTTCAGAAGACCAGCGGAGCTTTTGAAAGTTTGCTTCAACTGAGGAAGCAGTGTGGCTTTTTTACTTTACGCGTCTATCCATCCCTTATCCAACATGCTTGTCCTGACAGGAATTCCCAAAGTGATCAGGGGAGAGACGTGGGACACCCTGGTCAGATCGCCAGTCCTCTTTTCAGATACCGTGATCCTGCATTTCCTGAAACTGAACCCTCACATGAATACCCGTCACCCAGACTGAGTGAAAGGCGGCGTTACTTACTGAACGCTCTGCAGTAAGTTCGAAAAATGAAGTGAGCTGCAGCAGCGTGTGAGGTTAACGAACCTGGTACCTGTCAGTTCAGGTACCAGGGGATCCAACCCCACCGCTGGGAGTTGACCTGAACCAACAGGCACCAACCAGGCAGCTGCAGGTTACTGCTGTGGATGCCAAACTCTGGATGTGGGATGAATTCTGTGCATCTATTGGGAAAAAACTTCCTGTTGGCGTCAAAGATGTTGACTTATTGCCTCACAAGCAGGAAACAGGACATGTTGCTGTTTACCTCTTTCATTTTCCAAGAGAAGTGTGGATGCTGCCTAAACTACTCTGTGTTCCTGCATGGGATTATGAGAAAGTTCAAACAAATGTTTTTCGTGTTAATAAATGACGAAGCTTGAAACAGAAACCAGAACATCAGATTCCCTAAATGAATGGGATGTTTGTAATGGTTCTTCTTTCTCTGAAATACAGATATTGTTTAATGATGTTTTCTTTTTCAGCTCCAAGTCATATGTGCAAATGAGAGACATTAACATGTTGTGACATTTATGTGTGGAGAGATTCATTCACTTTGCACAGTCAAATCATTTGTAAATAGGAACCCAAGCTTCTGTAAATACCAGCTCAGTTGAGGAAGAGGCACAGAGTCACCATCAGTTGGAGCAGAAATGGAGCAGAAAGGAGATCAGAGGAGCCAGGACCCCTTCTCCTGTTCGATCTGTCTGGATCTACCCAAGGATCCGGTGACGATTCCCTGTGGACACAACTTCTGCATGAACTGTCTTAAAATTCACTGGGATGGAGAGAAAAAAAACTGCAGCTGCCCTCAGTGTGAGAAGACCTTCACACCGAGGCCTTTCCTGGAGAAAAAACACCATGCTAGCAGCTTTAGTGGAGCAGCTGAAGAAGACTGGACTCCAAGCTGCCACCGCTGACCACTGTTATGCTGGACCTGAAGATGTGGCCTGTGATTTCTGCACTAGGAGGAAACTGAAATCCATCAAGTCCTGTTTAGTCTGTCTGGCCTCTTACTGTGAGGAACACCTTCAGCCTCATTATGATTCAGCTACTTTTAAGAAACACAAGCTGGTGGAACCGAACAAGAACCTGCAGGAGAACATCTGCTCTGTGGATGAACATAAAGGCCACAACACAGTGTCAGCTGCAGCAGGAAGAGCTGAGAGGCAGAGAGAGCTGGAGGAGAGACGAGGAAACATCCAGCAGAGAATCCAGGACAGAGAGAAAGATGTGAAGCTGCTTCAGCAGGAGGTGGAGGCCATCAATCACTCTGCTGATAAAACAGTGGAGGACAGTGAGGAGATCTTCACCCAGCTGATCCTCTCCTCCAGGAAAGAAGCTCTGATGTGAAGCAGCAGATCAGATCCCAGCAGGAAACTGAAGTGAGTCGAGTCAAAGATGTTGAGGAGAAGCTGCAGCAGGAGATCACTGAGACTGAAGAGGAAAGACGCTGAGCTGGAGCAGCTCTCACACACAGAGGATCACAACCAGTTTCTCCTCAACTACCCCTCACTGCCAGCACTCAGTGAGTCCACACACTCATCCAGCATCAACATCCGTCCTCTGAGACACTTTGAGGACGTGGCAGCAGCTGTGTCAGAGCTCAGAGACAAACTACAGGACGTCCTGAGAGACTCATGGACAACATCTCACTGATGGTCCACTGAGGTGGATGTTCTGCTGTCAGAACCAGAACCAAAGAGCAGAGCTGATTTCTTAAGATATTCACGTGAAATCACCCTGGATCCAGATACAGCTCACTGTTATCTGAAGCTGTCAGAGGGAAACAGGAAGGTTACAGCTTTGGATCAACATCAGTCTTACTCCAGTCATCCAGACAGATTCACTTCATGGTGGCAGGTTCTGAGCAGAGAGAGTCTGACTGGTCGTTGTTACTGGGAGGTGAGTGGAGAGGGAGAGGCGCTATATAGCTGCTTCATGCAAGAATATCAGCAGGTCAGGAAATGAATGTGGATTTGGTCGAAACAACAAATCCTGGGCTTTAGATTGTCACCAAAACAGTTTCACGTTTGGTACAACAACACTGCGACCTCCATCTCGGTTCCTCAGTCCTCCAGAGTGGGGTGTACCTGGACCACAGAGCAGGTATTCTGTCCTTCACAGCGTCTCTGGATCCATGACTCTCCTCCACAGAGTCCAGACCAGATTCACTGAGCCGCTGCATGCTGGAGTTTGGCTTTACATCTGTGGAAGCTCTGCAGAGTTCAGCAAACATTAATACATCTGTTTTCTTCACCAGTGTAATTAGCACTGATATATATTGCAATATTATTTTCATTTAAGTTTCCATTTTTGTTCTTAGCTCATGTAGACAACAGAATACAATCACAATAATCATTAAACTGTAATGGGATCTACTGTTTGTAAAATTTACTTTACTTTATCACTCTGGTTATGGGTTGAATCTACTAAATAATGTATGTCTTGCAAAAAGGCACCATACCAGCAGAAAGACTTGACTACTGTGTTCAATAAAGAGAGAAAAAGACTTTCATTTGGTTTGTCTTTTGTTTGTGAGCTGCTGAAACTTCAGCGTCGGTCTGCAGGTGTTGGATGATGTGGGAACAAACGTCACAGTTTTATGAGGAAGGAACATGCACATAGATCTGCTCACTTCTCTGAGAACTAACTGAGAAAAAGGAGAACAGTCTGAGGTTTGTTCCCGTCCAGCTGCCCGGATCAGAAACTCTCACGTGACCCTATGACCTCCTGTGGTGACGGCTGGTTTGAGTCATTTTCAGCTCATAAAGCTGATTTTTCCAGTTTTCTGCTCAGATTCATCAGTGAGACAAAGATAATCACTCCCACTTTGAACATATTTTCATCCACATCCCAGTTATTAAGCGTTATTATCAGAATGTCAAACCAAAGCTCTGACATTAACTTTATCTAAAATCCCAAAATATGTGGTAATTTTTTTCAGTGACTTTAGAGAACTCTAACCTGCTTTATGCATTTATTATGACAGTTTAATAATTATAACAAACGATCCCCATGATGAGTCTGAAAGCTGTGAAACATTTCAAACCTTTCATTTCACCAACATGCCAACATTCAGCTGCTCAGCTTTAGATTTCCGGATGTGTTCAGCAGATGATTGACGTCATTTTTCAGAATTTTGCCGTTATTATTTGTATGAAGGTTAGATTCTCAGTTACTGGGAGTCATAAAGAAATGTCAGTATTTTTTCAGTTTTATTGGGGAAACATGTTACCTCAATCCATCAAGCCTGATGATGATTTGACAGTCAAATGACCAGAACAGAGCTGCATACGGCGCCTGCTTTGTCTAAGCTAGAAGAGAAAATATCAACATTTGCATGCTCACATATTTACATTTCTGGGATGCAGAACTTCCTGGTAGCTTCTTCTCATCCAGTAACAACCAGAACGGCGCCTTAAAAGAAGAAGATGGTTAAGATTAAAGTAGTTTGTCATCAGGTATTAAGAGTTTCATCACTGCTTAAATCAGTTTAGTGAATGTCAGTTTATGCACGAGTGAAGGTTCATGCTGGGTCGACTCAGTGGGTTCATGCTGTGTAGGCTCAGTGGGTTTATGCTGTGTAGGCCCAGTGGGTTCATGCTGGGTCGGCCCAGTGGGTTCATGCTGTGTCGGCCCAGTGAGTCAGTCTGTTGGACTCAGAGCTTTAAACTCCTTAGAAAAGAATCAGAAATGCCACAAAAAGGCCGAACCAGCAAATGAAGGATTCTTTTTCTCTAATGAAAGGCAGAACTGGTATTTCTGATTCTGCGGAGAGATTGGAGTTTATATGTCTGAGTTTTGGTGATTCAGTCAGTTGTTAACAGAAAACTCTTGTGGATATAATTCAACTTTAATACTTTCACAGACTTTGTCTTCCTGCAATTAAAACTTGATATCTCTCACTTTTTTTCCTGCTCTGGAACAAACCTTGACGCTGGATGCAACTAAAACCTGATGAAGGTGAAAACTGATTGGCTGCAGCTTCTCTGCTCTGACACATGATCAGAGATCAGAGCTTTATGCTTTATATGGTTTCAGGAAACGTGACTCACATGGTCAGTGTGACTGAGAACAGAAATGGAGCAAAATCTGGAAAACCAAAAACTTTCTCCTGTTCGATCTGCGAGGATCTACTGAGGGATCTGGTGATGATCCAGAACCGTATTAAAATCTGGGTCCTCCAGAGTAGGAGTGTGCCTGGATCATGAAGCAGGTATTCTGTCCGTCTACAGCGTCTCTGGATCCATGGCTCTGATCCACAGAGTCCAGACCAGATTCACTGAGTTGCTGGAGTTTAATGTGGTACAATGCAGGTTCTGCAGAGATCTGTAAACCCAATTAGATTGTCTTTTATTGTTATATAACTAAAACATTTCTCCGCATGAAAATCCAATCTTCTCTGGGCTCTGATAGTTATGCTTTAGTATTTGTATGTTCTGGTTTCGGTTCTGCAGATTGAAATGAACTGAAGTTGCTTCTGTTTTATTTTCTGTAATCCAAAGAAGAAATTGAAGCTAAAATCAATTTAGAACTGATGCTGTTTTCTCCTCAATTCTTTAGATTTAGATCAGAAAAATAAATGTCTGCCGTTTTGTCTCTTTGGGTTTCTTCAATAAAACAACTTGATCAAAAAGAAATGTGGAAAGTTTTAATTTCATTATTGCAAAAAAATTTCATTTTCTTCTTAAAAAGGAATATGTCTAAAAAATATTGTGTTAAACAAACAAGCATAAAAACAAGTGAGGCTCAATTTGTCAACAAATAAAGAGTCACATTAAAACAAACCATGGGCTGGTCGCCACCTGGTGGTGAGTTGTGGTACTGCAGGGGAGACTGTCGATCTGGTTCCAGGTCTTTCTGTAGGATTTAACTTTTTGGGGTGGAGAATGTCACATGTTGGAAAAGTTTAAAAAAGGAAACCATCTCACTGGGAGCTGCTTTTTGTTCTCTGATGAAATGACAAACCTCCACCACGTTTTAATGTGTTAACGCAAGAAAACGTATCATAGCCAAAACTTTCAAAACTGTGAATGTGACTACAATAATTTAAAATAAGTGCAAAAACAGGAAATCAGTTCAAAGTGATACTATGGACCTTCTTGGACTGGTTAATAAATAAGCTGCAACTGGAACCAATGATGGATCAGAAGCCAATGTGAGCAGAACCACAGAGGTCCAAGTCAGAGGGATGAAAGCAGGAATCAGTTTTTCAACATTTTTTCATTTGAAAAAACTTTTTGCTTTACAGAGTTTGTTTAACTGATAATGAAAAATATACTTTTAGACAAAGAATGTTGCTTGTTTCTCTGATTTAGAAGAATTTATGGCAACATTTGAAGAAGAAGAAGCAGGAATAAAGAGAAGCAAGAGGATCAAATAGAAAAGCTACTGGATAGGTAATCCACCAGGGCTGCTATCTTAACACTTTATTATTCCTGGAATCAAAGCTTTATATTCCTCCCTCTTCCTGCTCAAACACACCTTGAAGCTGGGAGGAAGCAACAGCTGCTGAAAGCTGATTGGCTGCAGCATTTCTGCACTGACATGTGACTCATAGATCAGAGCTCAATCTTTTTTTCTTCACTGAGTTTCTGTTTCAGGAAGTGAAACTCACACAGTCACTGAGACTGAGAGCAGAAATGGAGCAGAATCAGCCGGACAGAAAACTTTCTCCTGTTCGATCTGTTTGGATCTACTGAAGGATCCAGTGACGATTCCCTGTGGACACAGTTACTGCATGAACTGCATTAAAAGTTTCTGGGATGAAGGTGAGCAGAAGAAGAACTACCACTGCCCTCAATGTAGGGAGACATTCACATCAAGGCCTGTTTTAAAGAAGAACATCATGTTCGCAGCTTTAGTGGAGCAGCTGAAGAAGACTGGACTCCAATCTGCTCCTGCTGACCACCGTTATGCTGGACCTGAAGATGTGGCCTGTGATTTCTGCACTGGGAGGAAACTGAAATCCATCAAGTCCTGTTTAGTCTGTCTGGCCTCTTATTGTGAGAAACACCTTCAGCCTCATTATGATGTGGCTCCTTTAAAGAAACACAAGCTGGTGGAACGAACAAGAACCTCCAGCAGAACATCTGCTCTAAGCATGATGAGGTGATGAAGATCTTCTGCCGCACTGATAAGAAATGTATCTGTTATCTCTGCACTATGGATGAACATCAAGGCCACGACACAGTGTCAGCTGCAGCAGAAAGGACTGAGAGGCAGAGAGAGCTGGAGGAGAGACGAGGAAACATCCAGCAGAGAATCCAGGACAGAGAGAAAGATGTGAAGCTGCTTCAGCAGGAGGTGGAGGCCATCAATCACTCTGCTGATAAAACAGTGGAGGACAGTGAGGAGATCTTCACCCAGCTGATCCGTCTCCTCCAGAAAAGAAGCTCTGATGTGAAGCAGCAGATCAGATCCCAGCAGGAAACTGAAGTGAGTCGAGTCAAAGATGTTGAGGAGAAGCTGCAGCAGGAGATCACTGAGCTGAAGAGGAAAGACGCTGAGCTGGAGCAGCTCTCACACACAGAGGATCACAACCAGTTTCTCCTCAACTACCCCTCACTGCCAGCACTCAGTGAGTCCACACACTCATCCAGCATCAACATCCGTCCTCTGAGACACTTTGA